CCGTAGATAAAAATGCCACATCATTTATGAACAAAACCGAAACTTACAAAAAACCATATATAAAAACCTATCTAATGAAACTTAAACAACGAATATTAACTTAATTAAGGTTATTTTCATATTGATAAATCGTTTAATACAAATATAAATACTATAAATATAGAATTATATCAAGTTTTGACATACGATATAAAAACATAAAATTTTCCATTTCATTATTAATTGGTGTCATTAGAAGAATCCACTAAACCAACAATCGAAAAAAATACATGCAAACATAGTGATCCCGGCCCCGCGCTTGCGCGGGGAATATGCAACTAGTTCTTTTAATGCGGTTGTTTTGAGTATCTCAACCTTTGAGATACCAATATATTTATATACAATATATTTTCTTGATCAATGTTGGATACTCAATTTTAATAACTCTGAATGCTCAAATCTATATAATTTTAATAGAGAGTCTAATCAATCAAAAATCTGGCATCCTTAAATATATCAAATCATCCATCATCTCCTCCTTCAGTTTCTTTGTGAAATCGTTTAAAGGTATTTTTTTTTGAACCAAAATCATCTCTAGATTCTTGTTTATGTCACTGAAGCCTCTTTCAGTCACTATTACATGCCGACTTGATTTTTGCTTAATTGCTTTATATATCATCTCCTCTTTCATGTTGCAGTTTTCGGTTTTTGATTACATAGTACTAATACACTTTTTTAGTTATTATGATTTCATTTTGTTTTATCAGATGGAAGCTTATTATATACGTAAAATGTTGGTATGCCAAATGAAAAAACTTAGGAAATGATGAAAATTTCATTACAATTTCTCCTAAAGCTGGCACCAAAAGGAAAGAAGCTCCAAGACTCCAAGTTCAAGAGGTGAGATGAGTACACGTTCTTTTGTTTGGGAACATCATACGTGAATTGTTGGCAATGCTAACAAATATGGATACAACTACGCTAGTAAAGAATTGGCTTGTACGACCTGACTTGTAACTTCAAATTTGCATAAGCATCTCAACATATGAAAGCAAAACAAAGTACAACTCATGAGTAAGCTCAAACTCACCAAATTTTAACTCATGAAGGTAAAAGTAGATTAGGAAAACTTTCTGAAGACGTTTTAAAGATTTTGGCGTTAAATGAGATGCTTGTTTTGGGTGAGTTACCTCTTTCATTCACTGAGAGTGTTGTGTGTAGACATTTCAGCAGTTGAGTGGTATATACAAACCGTATTCTCAAAGAACAACAAATAGGAAGATTGTGAAGATGTAATTATTAGAGATATGTTGGGCCGGAAGATGTGTATCTTACGGACCAAAATTGTGAAGCCCATGAAACCCATAAAGACCCTCAAAACTAATAGGAAAGACTTGAAGAACAAGTTAATCTCAAGATATTCTTAGCATATTT